CAGACAACCATGGAGGTCGGTCTCTCTGCTTCGAAGATTACCTCCACACATCACTGCCGCACCGTCGCTCCGCCTCTCCGTCCAAGCCGCCGTTCCACCTCACTTCCAAGTCGCACGACATGCTTTGCTTAAATCTTTGATGCTCTGCTTCTCGATTCACACCGCCGCACTAACACACATCTCCATTGTAGCCAACGTGTACCCAATTGCTCGAGGTCCGCTTCTATTAGTTGAAGTTGCCTTCTTCTCTAGCATGCTTCTTCTCCTTCTATTTCGTTTTGAGCTCCGTCGGAATCGATGGACGGTGCAGTTGCAGATCTATTTGGAGCGGCTGTGCGGTTAGATCTGGACGGCTAAGGCTAGAGCGTCGTTGGTGGGCGAGGATTGTTAGGATGGCGCCGATTCTCCACTTCATCGAGGATTGTTGTTTGTATAATGCCTTGGCCATTGGGCGCCTGAGGAGAGGTTGGGATTGGACAACGTTGTGCGCAGGGGTTTCGTGCTGGCTGGGGGAGTTGGAACGGATGAAGGGTCACTTTTTTGTCTAACCCTATACGGGTCATATTTTTGGAAAATAGAAGTCTAAGAGTCTTATTTGGGCCATTTTTCTATATAAAATGTGAGTTAGATATCAGTTCATGTGCATTACAGAAATGAGGTTGTGTGTTGGATACTCGTTCATGTGGATTACATATTCAGGGTCGTGTGTTAGATACTGGTTCTTGTGCATTACATACTTGTTGTGATTCCACACTATGTGTTATATACGAGTTTTCTAACATATACATCTATTGTGTGTTAGATACTATTTCATGTGTATTATATAATAGTTGAAGTTATATGAAGTATTTATATGTTAGATATTAGTTCTTAATCGTTGTTCGTTAGATGTTGATTTTAGTGATTAAGATACTTGTGATGCTTTATATAATAATATGTGTGAGACACTACTTTTCGTGTGCATTAGATAGTGTTGATTGTGCGTTAGATATACGTTCTTGTGCATGCGGTAGCTGTAGCCTGTAGATGCTTGTTGTGCTTTATTTTATAAATCTTATACATGTTTTATTATTAAAATTATATAGGTGATATTGGTGTCAAATTAAAGATAATAAAAAGTTATTTAATTTGATGTATTTTTTGTTAAAATCGGATTATCATTTAAGAAGTTAAATCAATTTTTAAACAAGAAATTTTATAAGATTTGAGTGTTAATATTCCCTACTCTTTAGGAAGATGACAATCTTCAACTTTATGGTTTTGTCTTTTTAATTACTATAATGTCCTTCATCTAACCTACGTTGAGTAGAGAGTCCATGGTTAATTTTCGAGTGTTTGCACTCCCACCATACATCAGTGCATCTTCTCATTGTTGGCCTTTAATTTATTAAGATATGTGGTTAAGATTTGTTCTTATTTCTCACAATAAGGAGTGTTCTCATTGGAACCTCTCTCTGGTGCGGTTCCAGTGAGAACGATGATTTACGTGAAAACGTGAGAACACTCACATTTAAATCAATGTGGTGCACAATGTAGCTATTCTGTTGCACATTTTTAATTTACCGGAATTAAGCCTATAATAAATAAACACGGTGACATTTTGATAAATATTGTGAGAATGTGAAAATGTGCAATAGACAAGCTTCCTTGTGCAACACGTGTGTGAAAATGGGGTCTTCTCACGTTCTCACATTAAACATTGTGCTCATTTGATCTTTATTATATATATATAGTAGTGTTCCGGTCAGGAATTATATATATATAGTAGTGTTCCGGTCAGGAAGCGCCATACGGACGACGTCATTTGGACGCCTTCCCGGTGGATTTTGTTTGATGAAATTTGGATAGCATATTCTTCATCAAGTCTAGTTTATCCACACAAAAATTCAGCTAAACCTCAAATCGGGAAGGCAGTCAAATAATTTTTGGAAGTTAACTGCGCCGGAAAATACATATAAAACGCAGTTAACTTCCAAAAATTATTTGATGACCTTCCTGATTGAGTTTTTAGCTGAATTGTTTTGTGGATAAACTAGACTTGATGAAGAACATGAGTTTTTTCCCGTAATAATGCTAATTAAATAAATTATTCCCGAAATACTACCGGGTTAAGAATAATTCCCAAAATACTGCTGGAATTAACTACAGTTAAGGAAAGCCGCCACTCCAAATGGCGGCTCTTGTATTACTTCACAAAATCTGCCACTCTTAGGGGCGGATCTTCTCTTATAGTACAAAATCCGCCACTTCAAGTGGCGGCTCTCCTCTTACGTCCCATTTTGTACATATATAAAACGCAGTATGTTTTAAGAATTTGTTTAACTGCCTTCCCGATTGAATTTTGAGCTGAACTTTGGTATGGATAAACTAGACTTGATGAGGAACATGATAAAAAAATTTCATCAAATCATTCCACCGGAAACACCCTCTGATGGTGTTGTCCGCGGGGGGTTCTGGTCAGGACGTCATGACAAAAGGGTTGTCCGGCCACCTCAATTTGAGGTGGTTGCCAGTGGTATGTTTTGATGAAATATTTTGTGTATGTTCTTAATAAAGTCTAGTATAGTCATACCAAATTTGAGCAAAGCACTCAATCCGAAAGGATGTCAAATAATTTTTGAAAGATAACTACGCCGGATTATACATATAAAACGCAGTTATCTTTAAAAAATCATTTAACTGCTTTGCTGATAGAGATTGGTTCTGAAATTTGATATGGATTAAATAGACTTGATGAATAACATACACAAAAAATTCAACAAAACATTCCATCGGGAATCACCTCAAATTGAGGTGGCCGGACCACCCTTTTGTCATGACGTCCTGACCGGAACCCCCGCGGACAACACCATCAGAGGGTGTTTCCGGTGGAATTTTTTGATGATTTTTTTTGAACATGTTCCTCATCAAGTCTAGTTTATGCATACCAAATTCAGCTCAAAATTCAATCGGGAAGACAGTTAAACAAATTCTTGAAACATATTGCGTTTTATAGATGTACAAAATGGGACGTAAGAGAAGAGCCGTCAGTTAAAGTGCCGGCTTTTGTACAATAAGAGAAGAGCCGCCACTCGGAGTGGGGGCTTTTGTGAAGTAATACAAGTGCCATGACTTGGAGTGGCGGGTTTCCTTAGCCGTGGTTAATTCCAGCAGTATTTCAGGATTAATTTATTTAATTAGCATTATTCCGGAAAAAAACTCGAAGAACATGCCATAAAAATATCATCGAAAATGTCGACCGGGAACCGCCCCAAACGGCGGTGTCCGGACGGAGGTTCTGGTTCGGAATTCCGAACCTGAACTTTTATATATATATCAAATAAAAATCATTCTTATCTTGAAAACTGCAAACCGTCCACTTTTTCCATAGTGTGATGCGCTATTACGTTTCTGTGTTGCACTTTTTCGCATTGACAGAAAACTTTGATTTATTTACGAAAATACCTTTGCATTTTTCTTATTCAGCATGGTTCAACTGAAGTTCAAAAAGTGCAACATATCACCTTTATAGTACATCACATTCCGATAAAAGTAAACGTTTGCCCTTATCCGTCAAATTGCACTTCCCTCTTCTTCAAAAACTTTTGGAGTTAAGAACTTAAAATCATGTTAAAGTGTAACCTTCGCACGAATTACAACCTTCACCCCAAAATAAGTAAAGCGTATGATACTCAATTTGCATAGTCATTACCCCGTATAATACTCCGTATAATGGTAATATGTAAAACCATATATTAATTGAAATTGAATAAACTAGTACCTAAACTTTTTTACATAAACAAACTAGTCAAGAGTAATTTCATACTTCCTCCGTCCCTAAAAGGATTGCCAAGTTTGACCGACACGTAAAATAATAAAGTAAAAGCTGTGTGGTAGAGATTTGTGCAGAGGAGAGAGAAATAACAAGAGCCTCAAATTGATTCATTAAAAGAGAAAATATCAAAGTTTTTGCGACAACCAAAAAAGAAAAGTTGACAAAGTTATAAAGGACGAAGAGAGTATAATATAATAATATAAGTTTTTAAAATTAATGATAATACTCCGTATTTTAGAAAATGATAAAGACCAAACTGAATCCTTTAGTTTTAAAAGGTAGTACTACTTCCGCACCACCATGTTTGGGACAAGAGGGGATGCCACAACTTTTAAGATAAGGTAAAATTGTGTGGTTGATATTAAATTGATAAGTATGAATAAAGTAAGAATGAATTATAAAGCAGAACAAAGTTAGGGAACAAATGAAGTATAATAAAAAAATCACTCTATTTTAAAAGGGCTAAAAAAAAGTAAAGAACAAAAATGGCTCGCACGTGCCTTGAGCAAAAGAAGAAGAGCATTCTTAGTGCCTGTCACGTGCAATGAGCATTATATGAGGATTATGATTTATGAATTATGAGCAACGCTTGGGAAATTTGGAGTGGGCAAAAAACAATCCAACCCTATGGATTTGTTACTTTTTTCTATACATGTAAACCCGCACGAATAGCTTAATCAGGTGATTGGTGGGAAAGTTGGAATCGAATCCAGATTACAACTCCGGTGTGTTGGGATGAAATTAAAAAAAACCTTTTGTATACACTCTTATACACACTTTTGTACACACCTATGTTTGGGAAAAGTTTTTTTTGTCTGTGAACATCGACTCACAGACAATATTTTGCACAAACAAAATATTGTCTGTGAACCCGATTCACAGACAAAAAAAAGCTTCACAAACATGGTGTGTATGAAGTGTGTACAAGGGTGTGTACATCAAGTAGTTGGATGAAATTTACTGTTAGGTCCGCTAAGTACTGACTTACCACCTCCCAAAAATGTTCTCGTCCAGGAGTGGGGCCCCTGAAATTGGAGATATAAATAATAGGAGTAACTCCACTGCAGTTGGCTCTCAACGAATTCTATATAAGCGTATCCAAAGCTGAGCAAGCAAAACTTCTATCATCTCGTCTCGAGTTTTTTAGAGGTAGCAAGTGTATACGTTTCTTGAGTGAGGGGAGAAGAGAAAATGGAGAGTGAAATGAGGGCATCAAGATTCAAGAGGATTTGTGTGTTCTGTGGGAGCAGCCAAGGGAAGAAGAGCAGTTATCAGGATGCTGCCATTGAGATAGGAAAAGAATTGGTATTTCTTTTTTCTCCTTTTTTGCTATATGCGTGTGTGTGTGTGTACATATATCCAAATAAAACGAACTTTTTCCTTGGGATGTGGAAAAGTTTATCTTCTGACAAGAGTTCTTGCAAGAAAGGGGTGTGTCTGCAATGGCTAATGAGAAAAAATGGGGTCTTTGGTATATAAAGTTTCTTCTCTTCTGGTCTGTATTATTTCAGTTCTTTCCTAGCTTTGTCTTTTTCTTTATGGAATTTGGGGACATATGAGAGCTGAGTTTCCCATTCTGTTAGTTGATTAACATTGTATAATCACTTTCACCATTTCCCATTTTTACCAAACCTTACTTGAGTGCCTCAAATGTGTTTTTGGAGCATAAAGGGGACATTTTTAAAAACTAAAAAAAGTTGAAGTCTTTGTAAGGTGCAAGAACTAAAAGGGGCTCAATCTTGAAAGGTAATTAATTTAGGAAAAATCCAATTCATTTTAGTTTGAGATTTTCTCATTCCGTGCTGAAGGTTTCAAGAAACATTGATTTGGTGTATGGAGGAGGCAGCATAGGGCTGATGGGCCTGGTTTCACAAGCTGTTCATGATGGCGGTCGGCATGTTATGGGGTGAGATTGATGCTTTCCATCTCAAAAATCCTTAACTTCTTTTCTCTCTCCTCAATGTCTTAAATTATTGTTGAAAGGCATAGAGGGATCGAGAGACTTACAGTACTTGTTTTAACAGTAAAAATTCAAGGTCAACCCCAACCCTTGCTCCTGTAACAAACTAATTTGCTGTCATCTTACTGTTTGCTGCAGAGTTATTCCCAAGACGCTCATGCCTCGAGAGGTATGTCTGTTGTGTTTAGGATAAATCAATAAATGTTACTGTGTTTCTTTCCGTTATTTCAAACTAATACTCGTAATAATAATTTTAGTAAGAGTTAAAAGCCCCTTTTAAACTCTGTAATCTATGTTTAGGGGGTTAAGTAATTACGCACCTATCTTGTTGGTGTGGGGTTTCATTTTGTTTGTTTATTTCCTTTTCAAACTCTAGGTCTGAGTTTTATTTTATACATTTTGGCATCAAGTGGTTTCACCAAATGAATTGATTTTAGGTTCAAATTAAATATTCTGCTTTGTCTGTGTCACCCTTGTTAGTGTGTTTATTAATATAAAATACTAACATTATTATAGGGCATTGGTCTTATCCTTGTTGTCTGTTTGTGTGGATTCAAATTATTGGCGTACACGTACTGTGGGTAGCCTACTTGCCCCGCAGCTGCTAACTCTTGATGGGTTTCGGATTAAACTGTGTATGTTCTTTCTGGTGGGTTGCTTTCACAGTTGACTGGAGAAACAGTAGGGGAAGTGAAGACTGTTGCAGATATGCATCAAAGAAAAGCAGAGATGGCTAGACATTCAGATGCTTTTATTGCCCTACCAGGTTGGTGCTTGGATCTGTCGCTACCAATTCATTGTTGGCCAAATTATTAGCAGAAAACAGAAAGCCCAGGGAATGGACAGAACAACCCCTCCCTCAAATAAATATACCAAAAAACAACACTAGAGGAGTGGAAATGTCCTTCTTGAGTTTTGCACTTGGACACATACTATAAGCAGAAATATGTGCATTTCCATGAAAGCAATTGTGGGCTGAGCTAAATGACCAGAATCACCCTTTGGCTTCATTATTGTTCATGACACAATAACATCTTGCACGGAAAACCACACCCTACTTATCCCTCCATTGTCTTGAGCAAAAAAGGAAGGAAATGACAACTTTCACAAATTTGGTGTTCCTGCCAACCTGCTCTACCTCTCTACAATGCTCACTCCTTTATACGTAGTAGCAATTTCTAGCTTCCCAAGAAATCAAATCACCACCTTTATTTCCTTGGTCCAAAAGGTGGAATCTCCCACCCCAGGAGCCCCCCACCCCGACAGGATGGTGGGGAGGTTAATCACGGTGACTGAGTCAGCAAAATGGCGGTAGGCTTTATACACGTGCACATCAGATGTCCAGCCTTATTTCAGGTTCTGTAACCTCCACACGGGTGCTGCGGGTTTCGAACCTTGATCACTTGGTCCAATTTTCCCACCACTCGACCAAGTGAGGCCGTTGCGGGTTTCGAACCTTGGTCACTTGGTCCAATTTTCCCACCACTCGACCAACTGAGCTACCCGTGCGGGTACCACCTTTGTTTCCTATCTTACTGATCAAGTGCCAAACACGTTCCACCAAACATATCTTTCACCTTAAGAACAAAATCTTATTCACTCCGGCCTATCTTACAGAACAAAAAGTAAAATGTGTTATAGTACAAGTGCTACGCCCATTGATGTGTAAGGATTAAGCACATGATAATTAAAGGAATGTGTGAAACAACTTTTCATAACATAAACAACAATTGGTTCTTTTTATAAAATGAAAAATTGGTACTGTCTTTTTATTGTTTTTTCTCTATGAAAAAAAGATGCTGTATTTGCACGGTCTACTAATTTAACTCATGAGAGTTTCTAATTTTAGTAACATATGTACATATACTACTTCCTATCATCATCATATATGCCTTCAAGGCTGATAAAACGAAATGAAGGTACGTAGTATATATGAGCTCATAGCGACAAATATATATAACGCAGGTGGTTATGGTACACTTGAGGAGCTACTTGAAGTGATCACTTGGGCTCAACTTGGCATTCACGACAAGCCAGTATGTTTCTACGGACGCCAACTTCTCATTGAAGTTGAAAAAGAGGCTTAATTGATGAAAGACAGAGACTAAAAAAGAAGCTTAATTTTGTAGGTGGGGTTGCTGAACGTTGATGGATACTACAATTCGTTGTTGACATTCATTGACAAAGCAGTGGAGGAAGGCTTCATCAGCACAAACGCCCGCCACATCATTGTATCTGCACCTACCGCCAAGGAACTTGTCAGGAAACTGGAGGTAAGCTACACCTGCTACCTTTTAACTTATCATTTCATTCTCCATTCAGACCTGGACCATATATACTCACTACTAAGTAAGATGCCGTTTAATTGGTAATACACTAATACGTATGTAATAATGTATCCGTCATAACGTACAATTCACAAGGAAGGTTACGTTACATGTTATTACAGTCCACCAGACTTCACCTTAAGTCTGTAGAGATCGGGCGTACACGATGCTATTGAAGGTTTTCATAAGATTTAAGCTTTGAGCTGAGAAGTTTAACTAAATCCAAAGATATTTTTCTATGAAAACAGGAGTATGCTCCCTGCCATGAAGGAGCTGCACTGAAGTTGAGCTGGCCATCATGGCCAGGAGATGATGAGGCAGCTTGGGTACCTTCAGACCCTGAATGATACTCTTGCATTTGCAGCATATATAGGGAAAAGCTCGTCAGGATACGAAAAAATATATAGAGCCAGGAGATGCTAACCTCAAATTATTTGTTTTTTTGCCGTGCAGGGATTCTTTTCCCCCCTTTTTTTGTATATCTAGTACTAAAAAATCTTCTAGCATTATATATAGCACCACATATATACATATATGGTTATTATTATCTACGCACCCCCTCTGTGTGGAAATCCTGCATTTTTGTGCAAGCAATTCAAGCTGTAACTAACTAAGTTCTCAGATGCATATCATATTGAATTCCCCGGTTAGTGTAAACTCAAACTCAGCTGTTCAGTTTATTGATTCCAAATTGTAGTTATAAGGCTGTCTTAGTCTTCAATTGTGGTTTCCGAGTGGTGACAACCACATCCAAAGCTGCCAATAATAATATGACTCGATTGGAACCTCAAGAAAACCCATGAAACGAAATTCCTATCACAATGTTTTTACCGGTTCAATTCTAACTATGTGAGGACAAAATGTTGAGTAAGCAAGTGATGCAATTGGTCTGATTCCGGGCCGATTCTGATCCTAGACCGACCAGTCCATGGATCTTATAGGGGACCGAAATTGGGTAGGGCTGGTTCCCGGGACGGGTACTGTGCTGAACCGGCCCAGCCCGATGGCCCGGCCAGTGACCGGTCCAGGTAGGCCCGACCCGGGGGTTCCCGGTGCGGGCTGGAGTCACCGAAAAGCCGAACCGGCTCGGCCAGTTCGGGCCTGGTTCCGGGCTTTTTTTTCAATTTTTTTAACTTTTCGGGTTGGGCTGGATATTTTGGGCCATTTGGGGTGGTTTGGGGGGTTGGGGGTGGGAGGGGGGTTAATTAGGAAAAGGGAAAAAAATTGATACGAGGCCCGGCCCGGTCTGGCCCGGACCCGGTGGCAACCCGGGCCGGTCCCGGGCCCATCTATTCAGAACCGGTGGCCCGCCCGGGCCTAGGCCCGACCCGGCCTGGCCCGATTCCAAGTCTATTCCAAAGTGTCTACGGGAGTGGAACTCGAGGTAGAACACTCAGTAGACCAACTTTGTGGTTCTAGACCGAGGTCTAGAGCGGTTGGACAGTTTCGTGTAGTTTTTCCAAAAACTGTCACGGTTATTCTAAAATGTGTTGCAACCGCCTGGGACGTAATATGGATATATATATCACCATATTTTGTACATAGAACAAGGAAGAGAGATATACAACATATCTTTATCACTTTTGGCATTCAAATTAAGATAGCAATCCATATACTCACTAGTTTGGCTCTAGTTCTTGTGCCTAAGTTCTAGAGTGTCATTAAGGATTATCCTAGATTGAATTTCTTGTAACCCAGACATAGGGGAGAAATATCAATTCGGAAAGTGAACTTAAACGATCCTTAAGCAATCCAAGTACTTGATTATCACCCTCTATACACACGAACCCCAACAGATAACAGTACCCCATGTGGTATTAACCAACCAAGAGAACATCTAGATGTCATTTTTCCCATGTAAGCTATGTACCTATTTCCAATTTTGAAGAAATACTCTAAGAGCACGCTTCTAATTTGGGAAGGTCTACGGAAATTTCAAGACCTTTACCGGAAGACAACCATTGTAGAGTTTACACATGATAGAGAAGGCGATGACTATGCCAACATAAACAACATAGTTTTCTGATCACATTTAAGAAGGTCGTCGGGGCGGCCGTCAGCACAAACCTCCCATCCTTCTTGAGATCGAAAGGGCGAATCTGCTTCTTCCCGATGAGCTCCAATTGACCGACGTACTCTAACATGGCGTTGATAGCTTAGAAATTTAATCTTGGTGTAGCATGGAAGTGGGCTTAGGGAAAGAGATGTGTTTCTTATTAGGGAAATTTGAGAATCTCACAATTTGGAAACTTTGCCTATGTTGACTTTTTTGCCACCTCAGTCTAACCAGAAAAGTTAAGTTCACAAATACGTAGTGTTAATTATTATTTATATAAAATAGGGTGCAAAGTGGTGAATTAGATAAACTGGAAGGTATTGAATTAACATAGATAAGTATAGGGTGTGGAGATCACACTGAATCAAAAGGTTGGGCATGTCAAGCGTGATTGCCGTGTGAAACTGAACAAGAATGGCGCTGGAACGAGTGGCAGTGGACAAGAACGATCTATGGACTTGGTTCCACGGAAAGGAGGTCAGTTCTTGACTAACTTTGATAATTATGTCCAGAATTATGTATCACTCATTTCAGAATCTTTTTGTGTACATGATGATGATTGTGCATGGTGGATTGACTCGGGGGCTACAAGGTATGTGTGTAAGGATAAAGGATGGTTTGAAGACCTAGAACTAGTAGAGGTCGGTTCCTTCTTACGCATGGGAGACGAGTCAATGGTGCCAATCTTGGGAAAGGGTGTAGTTTTTTTAGAATTTACTTCTGGAAAAACAATTACATTGTTTGATGTTTTGTATGTACCGAATGTTCGAAAGAATCTTGTTTCGGGAGGTATGTTGAATAGTTTAGGATTCAAACAAGTGATTGAATCCGATAAATATGTTCTGTCCAAGGTTGGTGTGTTTGTTGGTTTTGGATATTTATCAAATCGCATGTTTCGTTTGAATATTGTGAATAAATTAATTTCTAGTGATAATTCTGTTTTTGTGGCATCTTCCATGAATGATTGTATGATTTGGCATGCTAGATTAGCTCACGTTAATTTTAGAAAAATGCATGATATGTCTAAAGATGGTTTAGTTCCAACTTTTGATATTAATAATGATAAGTGTAGGACTTGCATGTTTACTAAGTTCACAAAACAACCGTTTTCTAATATTGAAAGGAATTCAGCTATTTTGGATCTTGTACATAGTGATCTATGTGACTTTCACTCAACTACTTCCCAGCCCTTGGCAATAAAAAGTATGTTGTTACTTTTATTGAGGATTCAACTCGGTTCTGTTATGTGTATTTACTACACACTAAGAATGAAGCTTTAGAGAAATTTAAAGTGTATAAAACCGAGGTTGAATTGCAATTGGGTAATCCGATTAAATGTCTTAGGATTGATCGGGGAGGAGAATATATGGATCCCCATTATTTTCAATCTGTTGGAATCATTCATGAGACCACAACTCCGTATACACCACAACAAAATGGTGTGGCTGAACGGAAAAATCGAGTTTTAAAGGAAATGGTTAATTTCATGCTTTCCTACTCGGGTTTGAGTGAAGGGTTTTGGGGAGAGGCCATGCTCACGGCCTGCTATGTTCTATATAGGGTTCCAAACAAACGGAACAAGACAACCCCGTATGAGCTTTGGTACAAAAAGCGCCAAATTTGAAATATTTTCGGGTATGAGGTTGTAGAGCGATTGTAAAATTGCCAGAGCCCAAAAGGAAAACTTAGGGAGAAAGGGGAATTGATTGCATATTCATAGGGTATGCTGAAAATTCCAAGGCTTATAGGTTTTATGTAATAGAACCTAACGATGCGGTAGCGGTTAACACCGTGATTGAGTCTCGGGATGTGATCTTTGATGAGATGAGGTTTTTATCAATTCAAAGATGATGCACACTAATTAGTAGTGCATAATTGTATGTTTTTATGTTTCATTGATGGTGATTGTTTGACGTTTTATTTAGTTTGTAAACATTTGTGTGATTTTAGTTGTAATTGTATTTTAGTTCTCATTTGTAAGTTGTAAAGTAGAATTAGGAATTAGGATGTTGGAAAGGAGGATGTTGAAGTGAAGAAAAAGGAATTTTGACTGTCCAGGAGCAAATACCCGACCGGGTAAGAAATTTCACCCGGTCGGGTCTGAATTAACAACCGAAATTTCAATGAATGGGCTGGACCCGGTCGGGTCCCCTATGCTACCTGGTCGGGTCGGATGTGACCCGGAACACCAGAACGTGCCAAGGATCGCCCGAATAAAGAATATCTGATTTTTTAGTCAAACCCGGTCGGGTCCCCTACTTGACCCGGGACATTTTAACGTGCTGAAACACAAAAACGTGGGAGATAATCTGATTTTGACCGGTACCCGGTCGGGTGAGTACTTGACCCGGTCGGGTACCCGGCCAAAGGTGTTGAAAAACACCTATAAATAGCAGTCTTTTTCTTCTCTAAAAATGATCCCTTCTTCCATACTCTTTTTCTAGAATGGAAGATTAAATGCTACTATTAAATCGGTATAAGGCGTTGTTCTATATTTGATTAATAGTAAGGGTTATTAATGAACGGTCGTTGTTAATAACTACCCTCGATGAAGTGGATATACTCCCCGATTGAGTATTCGAGAGGGAATACGTTATAGATATGACGATGATCGACTAAAATATATCAACAAGTGGAAAGTAGCAAAGCCAAGTCCTTTTTATCTTTGAATTAAACACATATAGGTTGTTCATCTTAGTTCTTAATTTAATTAAATCATTCATCACCAAAACCCCCCTTTTATTTACTAAGTATCATAAAAAGAGAATTATTCCTTTCCCTGTGGATACGAACTCTACTACGCTATACTACGTATAAGTGTTAGTATTGAAAATTATTTTGACGCACTGTGACAAAGTGCTCGTCAAATTTGGCGCCGTTGCCGGGGATGGGCAATTATTTTTCTTTTTATTTTATTTCAAGAAAAATAATAAAAAATAATATATATAAAAGATTTCTATTTTGCTGAGCTTTGTTTGAGTATATGGTTAAACACCGATCTATAAACCAAATCACCTACCAAACAAAGCCCGAAACAGAGCAAGCTTTCGAGAGGTTTAGGAATTTATTTCCGAATACTTCTTCGGAGGAATCATCAAGTGCTAGTTCTCATTCTAGCGAATCCGAAGAGTCCTTCCACATGGCTCTGGAAACAAGAACGCTGAGGGAGCTCACGACTCCGAATCTAAATCAACAACCCTTATGTATCACTTTTCCAACTCTTGATACGGGGGTCACATTCGAGCTAAAATCTGGGCTCATTCATCTACTCCCCTCTTTCCATGGCCTACGAGGGGAAGATCCAAATAAGCACTTGTCAGAGTTCCATATTGTGTGCAAAAGCATGTGCCCCAATGGCGTGTCCGAGGAGAAAATCAAGCTGAGAGCCTTCCCATTCTCCCTCAAAGACACCGTCAAAGATTGGCTATTCTATCTTCCCTCGGGGAGCATCAATACATGGGCTCAAATGAAAAAGAGCTTCCTTGACAGGTACTATCCCGCATCTATCTCTTCAAGTCTCAAGAAGCAAATCAGCAACATTGAGCAAGCAGATAATGAGACATTGTATGAATATTGGGAGCGCTTTAAAAAATTATGTGCTAGTTGCCCATATCATGGGTATTCGGAACAAGATCTCATCCTCT